TTATTTGGCATTTTTATGCCTAATTATATTATTTCGTTTCATACCTTGCCATGCTATGACGTTTATTTGACCTTTTATGCCTTAATATACTATGATGTTTTTTTGACGTTTTATGCCATACTATACTATGACGTTTTTTGGCATTTTTATGCCATACTATACTTTGATGTTTTTTGGCATTTTATTGCCTTACTATAATATCCTGTTTGATGCCTGACCATACTATGACGGTTTAATGACCTTTTATGCCTTAATATACTGTGACGTTTTTTGACCTTTTATGCCATACTATACTATGACGTTTTTTTGCATTTTCATGCCATATTATACTTTGATGTTTTTTGGCATTTTTATGCCTTACTATACTATCCTGTTTGATGCTTGACCATACTATGACGGTTTTATGACCTTTTATGCCTTAATATACTATGATGTTTTTTGACCTTTTATGCCATACTATACTATGACGTTTTTTGGCATTCTTATGCCATAATATACTTTGACGTTATTTGGCATTTTTATGCCTAATTATATTATTTCGTTTCATACCTCGGCATGCTATGACTTTTATTTGACCTTTCATGCCTTAATATACTATCATGTTTTTTTTACGTTTTATGCCATACTATACTATGACGTTTTTTGGCATTTTTAAGCCATACTATACTTTGATGTTTTTTGGCATTTTTTTGCCTTACTATAATATCCTGTTTGATGCCTGACCATACTATGACGGTTTAATGACCTTTTATGCGTTAATATACTATGACGTTTTTTGGCATTTTTATGCCATACTATACTTTCACCTTTTTTTGGCATTGTTATGCCTTACTATACTATCTTGTTTGATGCCTGACCATACTATGACGGTTTTATGACCTTTTATGCCTTAATATACTATCATGTTTTTTGGACGTTTTATGCCATACTATACTATGACGTTTTTTGGCATTTTTATGCCTAATTATATTATTTCGTTTCATACCTTGCCATGCTATGACGTTTATTTGACCTTTTATGCCTTAATATACTATCATGTTTTTTTGACGTTTTATGCCATACTATACTATGACGTTTTTTGGCATTCTTATGCCATAATATACTTTGACGTTATTTGGCATTTTTATGTCTAATTATATTATTTTGTTTCATACCTCGGCATCGTATGACTTTTATTTGACCTTTTATGCCTTACTATACTATCATGTTTTTTTGACGTTTTATGCCATACTATACTATGACGTTTTTTGGCATTTTTATGCCATACTATACTTTGACGGTTTTTGGCATTTTTATGCCTTACTATACTATTTTGTTTGATGCCTGACCATACTATGACAGTTTTTTGACCTTTTATGCCTTAATATACTATGATGATTTTTGGACGTTTTATGGCATACTATACTTTGACGGTTTTTGGCATTTTTATGCCTTACTATACTATTTTGTTTGATGCCTGACCATACTATGACAGTTTTTTGACCTTTTATGCCTTAATATACTATGATGATTTTTGGACGTTTTATGGCATACTATACTTTGACGTTATTTGGCATTTTTATGCCATACTATACTTTGATGTTTTTTGGCATTTTTATGCCTTACTATACTATCCTGTTTGATGCCTGACCATAATATGACGGTTTTATGACCTTTTATGCCTTAATATACTATGATGTTTTTTGACCTTTTATGCCATACTATACTATGACGTTTTTTTGCATTTTTATGCCATACTATACTTTGATGTTTTTTGGCATTTTTATGCCTTACTATACTATCCTGTTTGATGCCTGACCATACTATGACGGTTTAATGACCTTTTATGCCTTAATATACAATGACGTTTTTTGGCATTTTTATGCCATACTATACTTTGACTTTATTTGGCATTTTTCTGCCTTACTATACAACTTGTTTGATGCCTGACCATATTATGATGGTTTTATGACCTTTTATGCCTTAATATACTATGATGTTATTTTGACGTTTTATGCCGTACTATACTATGATGTTTTTTGGCATTTTTATGCCATACTATACTTAGATGTTTTTTGGCATTTTTATACCTTACTATAATATCTTGTTTGATGCCTGACTATACTATGACATTTTTATGACCTTTTATGCCTTAATATACTATGATTTTTTTTGACGTTTATGCCATACTATAATTTGAAGTTATTTGGCATTTTTATGCCTAATTATATTATTTCGTTGCATGCCTGACCATACTATGACAGTTTTATGATCTTTTATGCCTTAATATACTATGACGTTTATTTGACCTTTTATGCCTTACTATACTGTGACTTTTTATGTCTTATACTATGACTTTTCATGCCTAAATATACTATGACATTTTTATGACATTTTATGCCTTACTATTGTTTGATGTTTTTATGCCTCACTATACAATAACTTTTTATGTCTTAATATACTGTGGTATTTCTTATGAATTACTATACAATGATTTATGAAATATATATGACACATATGTCGCTATATCAAGATTGATTTTACCATACATACTCTGGACATATGATGATATAAATTTATAACATATGAAATACAAATAGTAAAATGCAACTTCATTAAAACAACATGCTTATTAAATGTTATATGTTTGTATATGATTCTCAATAATTTCTTCTCAAATTTAAACATAAAAGTATATATTTTATATTTACATATCTAATAACATATACTGACAGGCTTTGGAATGTTTATATATTCATGTAAGACATGTCTTTTATATAAACAGACATACTAAAGTACATGTATCTCTCAGCTAGACATATATGTCAATATATGATATTGTTCCAATTTCTAACAGGTATCATGTATCATTTTTACATATATATATATATATATAAGATTTTAATTCATATGTACATATATTTCATGTATGGAAATTCAACACATGTACATATATTACATTTGCGTATGAGCATTCCTGAATGCAAATTTAGATCTTATAAACCGTTTGGTTTACGGTATTTTGGAGGGGTGGCGGGGTTATTGCGTCAATACCAATGTTGAGAGTTTATGTCAGGTCCCCATGTGAAATAAGCACATTTTAGGTAGGCTGTATGGTATAAGGTGCAAGACAGTCAGAGGAACAACAACAAAAAAGTGCCCGAAAAACAAAAATAGCTGGCTTTTGTGACAAACTCCGAGTAAGAGACACCCTTTTAGCACATGAGGATGTAGTTTTGACTCACATCTGCTGTCGTTGACTTGGTATCACAAACACGTCCTTCTATAAGGCTGGTGGAAACGTAGCTTGTAGGCCTTGCTTCTGGCTTGTATTGATGTGTATACAATAGAGGTTTTATTTAACGTTAAATATGTATGATTACGCCTATACGTGCAGTCACAAGAAACAAACATTACCTCTGTGTGGCACAACTGCACGTCTTTGCTACTGCACAGGTGTCGCTCATCAGTGGTTAATTATCTCCACCGTGCGTGACGTCAGTCCTCACCTTCCAATCTCTTTCCACACGTGCAATAATCTACCAAAATAAAAGCTTATCATAACACAAAACCATATCTTCTTTAGGGTCACTAAGCTGTCTGGATAACACAGCATCATGTCTGCCAGCGTGGCAGTCTTGCAGACCTATCTGCCACTCAGATCAGATGAAGTCCTGATTGTGGTTGCAGCTTATCATCCACCTATCATCAAAACTGAGTGAATTCTGCCTCTGGCAAGTAAACCGTAGCATACCATCTGCCACACTGGCAGGAAACAGCCCTCCCACATTCTGCTGGTGATAATCTGTTCTCTCATTCAAATATCAAACATAACAACACTTGATGATATAAAATCTTGTTTATTTAAGATACATGTCATATATGTTGTATTCTGTACATGAAATGTGACAAACCTCCATTAATACCCATCAGAATTTCTGATTCATTCTTTTTAAAAGTGGTTAAGGTCTGTTATCAGTCTCATCTACCACTTGCACAGCCGAAACTTTTGAATCCAGAGTGTTTAGATGAACACGTTCAGTAACACATAATATTACTCAGACATTAACATACAATACAAGATTGCCAGGTTGTTTAAACAAAGATTATTTTAATAGGAGTCCTCTTCCTTTAATACAACAAAAGCTTTTCTTGAGCTAACAAATTCCCAGCCCCCCCCCCCCCCCCCTTTAAGCTCTGTCTCCCAAGTGACTAAGCAATACAGTACAAAACGAAAGGAAAAATTGGCCTGGATATGGTGCTGCCATGTTGTTCTCCTTCTCTAAATCACCCTGAAAACACTGATGTTTCTTTCAGGTCCCACAGGACAAGGTGTTATGAGAGCTGGATCTGAATAAGAACTGGGACATAAAGAGACATTCACTCTTAAAAAGCTATTGTGGGTAACTAGCATGCTTTCTTTACTCTGCCAAAAACACACAACTCTACTCTGAGTTGTCCCATCTTGGAACAAGGGTTTGGAGCTGCTCCAATCCACTCAGGATTCTTTATGTGCCTTCTGGTTCTTGTCTCTGTCCCAGGATTGCATGTATACCAATAGGTAACTATTGCTCCCTGAGCACAGGGAAAAACGTTGTAAAAATGCATGCTTATGCCAGGTGGAAATGTCAAAGCTAAGAGCAGTCTGTTGTCTCCCTGTGCTAACAGAGACTATTAGTGGGATTCTCTTGGTTTCTTTTTTTCAGCACGGCTGCAGAGGGCTTGGTGGTGTGCTGGTTGACTTCTCCATATGTGTGTCCATTGGTGTTTTTCCCTGCCTTTCGAGGTGCTTCATTCTGAGCTCCTCTCTGTACTCATAGCTGAGGAGACTGGGTTCATAGGCACAGAGATGAGCGTAGGCATTCACTAAAGCCCTGATCTGCGGTATGGTGAGTTCTGTAGGGCGCAGAGTGGGGTCCACATCTGCCTTCTGCATCATCTCCTGTGTCAGCTCAATACGACACGCCGCCGGGAACAACTTTCTGGGAGGGAAAAAGAGAAGAACAGAAGAAATGATAGTACAGATTCCTACACTCAGGTCTCTTTGATATCTTAACAATCATGCAAGTTTAATGGCATTATAAAGTTCAAACAGAAAGAAATTATCCCTCAGCAATTATTTCAAATCTGTGAAGTTAATTGAAATCACACAAAAGGGCTAGAGCTGCTCATGAATTGTTAATTTGTTCCACTACCATGCAACATCAAGGGATGTTAGACATTGACACAAAACTTCCACTCTCTCAGACACAAATTTCTCTAAAGTAAAGAGTGCAGCTATAATTTAAATCAATAAATTTCCATTTATTTTACTGGCTCTCACCATCAAAAGCTCTCCAGAACATTCAATACAGAGAGGTAGCCATTTATTTTTAAAGACATTGCCCTGCCTAAGATGTTCTTCTGTATTCTTCTGCAGGTTAATGAGCGGTAGCAAGCTCCACACACTCCGCAGTACAGATGCTTTTTAAGCGCTTCACCACTGGCGCCTCCTCTCCAATTTGGTTCTGCTGCCGCCAACCCACTGCAGTTACATAAAATATGCTGCCTCGTCTTCCTGTGCCACCTCAATGACTCATAATTGCTGTTCTCTTTCACGCAGCCAGTGTTCTTTTGTTATCTGGGCCCACATGCACTTTCCTAACCGGCATGGGGGCGATGGGCAGCGTGCACATGTGGGCGTGTGGGTTTGTTGCTAGTGGTTTTCAACAGAGCTCAGAGGGTGCTCCGCTTTTCAAAATATGGTTACAGAGATCCTCAAAAGTTCTGTCTTCATTTATTGGAATTTGTTGGTGTGTGTGCAAGTAAGGAAAGCAAGTCAAAACCCATTGTAATTAATGATGAGATGAAGATGCTGCTGTCAGAAAACAGAGAATGAAAAATGTAGAGGAGAGAATGACAGATGAGCATGAGACAAGATTAAAAAGTAAAAATGGGAGAGAGAGAAAGAGAGAGAGAGAGAAAAGATGCTTTACAAGCTACATCAAGTTGTATAATTGTGCTTACTCTACTCCTTTATGGCAGTACTTCCTGCGGAACTGGAATATGTTTCTTACGACTCTCTCCACCAGCTTGAAGGGCTGCTGAATCTGGGGCTGAACCAGAGGGGTGAAGTGAACCACTCCCACGTCCACCTACACACACACGCACGCGCGCGCGCATACACACACACACACACACACACACACACACACACACACACACACACACACACCACAGCAAGAGGAATCCAAACAGCAGGGTCAAAACTAGATTGCAAAGAATGTACTCATGTGAATGTAGAAAAAAAAAGAGTGTCAAGAAAGAGCAAGTCGGTGTGAGAAGAAAAAGGAGAATGCAAAGTGTGAAGAAAAATGCTGGAGCGAAAGGTTGCCTGACAAACGGCAAGAGCGATACAAAGGGGAGAGAGAGAGAGAGAGAGAGGTAGAGGGATCAACACACTGGGATAAAAGAAAAGAGGAAAGGCAGAAAATAAGATGACGCAGCAAGGCTGGCTGGCTGGCTGGTGAGCCCGTTCCAGTTGCCACAGTAACACCTGTGCGATGGACCATAGTAACTGAGCCTCTGTCTTTCTTTCCTGCCTCTCATCCTGTCACTGCATCACCACTGAGTTACTTAATACCTACGAGCCTGACTCACTGTAGCACTCTTCTCTTCATCCCACTGTCTTTGTCTATCTGGCCGTACCATTTCCACTGAGGGTGAAACCAATGGAGCATAAACATACTGTATACAGATCCGGTGATGGGTACGTTAGGCAGCCACAGAGCTCATATCCTGCTTTATGGGAGACTCAGTGGACACATGTACTATGATTAATTCTTTTTTTCAACTCCTGCTGAAAAAAAGAAAACGTGAAAAAAAGTAATGGAAAAACTATTCCCACTAGAATCCATGCTTTGTACAGTTCAGCTAAATTTATGATAAGTGGGTGTAAGAGATGTAGCTTTTTGAAGGTCACCTTATCAGAACTAGTCCTCATTAGTATTAGAATATTTGTTGTGTGTTGTGCCCCCACAACCCTGTCAGATGAACTCAAATACCTCTTCGACAACACCTTGACTGTAAATCACTATTAATTATATAAAGCAATGATAAAAATTTATTTTTCAAATTAGTTGAGCTACTCTACCCCCTTGCCCCTGGTTGGGAATCACAGAACTACAACAGAGAACTGGTGGTAGCGGTGGTGGTGATGGTGTGGCTGGAGACCTTGGCTTCAGTTCCTCGCTAGCTGCTGCCTCCCGATCCTTCGTGTGTCAGCACTAAGCTGACATGACACACTGTTGAAGTAATCGTGCCAGACTCAGCAGAGCCTTGCTTTCTCACTCTCAGATCACTCCCTCTTTAACTTTCAAGCACATATACATCCACATGTTCTCTCCTCTACTGCTTCCTGTAAAGGATCATCTGCTCTCTTTATCTGCTGAACACCAAAATACATTAAAATAACATTTCTGAATCTCTAGATCTGTGCGTCTGTGGCACATTATCTTTCAAGGCTGTTTCACATGATGGCCTTTAGCCCTGCAAGTTATAGCTTAAAAGGGTGCAGCACAATCAGAGTCCTACTCCACTGTGTGTGGACGAATGGCACAGCCAGACAGTGGCCTGTCTGTCTTTCCATAGTTGATAATAGCGTTACTTCCCCAGTGGGGGGGGCACTGTGAGGGACTGTACTCTTGACTGGCAGAGCGGACTGACAATGGCACTCCAAGGAGAAACATCAGCGGTGTTATTTGTAATAATAATACATTTCATTGCCCTTAAGTGCTTTTTGGCTTTTCAAGATACTCAAAGACTCTTCATATAGTAAGAAAAAAATAACAAACATCTGTATGTAGCTCACATCTGAATGGAAAAGTATCTGAGACTTGGAAGTGGAATGGGGTGTTCAAAGGAATCAAGGATGCAGGTGCATGAAAGGAAATTACATACAGCATCCCGGCTTAACATTTAAAGACAAGACAAACGTGCAAAAAACACATACTGGCAGACATGCTCCCCTCATACTCACAAACACATACATGGAGGTAAAATAAAAGGACATCTAATTCAGCTCAACAGCCCTCCTGTTGAGGCTACATGCCCTGCGGAGCTCCTCATGCATCCTTGAAGCTTGTATTTCTGGATTGTGTGACTCACTCTCATTCACAGCTTCCTTTTGCATTTTCTAGGCTAAGGGCTGGCGTCGATAATTAGGGGGGGAAATCTGAAGTGGTCCAAGGGCGCGCGAAGGATTTCTAATGAGCTGTTTAGATTCCGCTTTTCTGTGAACAACTGAGGTAGCGCTCGGGAGCACTTGTAAACCGCAGCACTATCTCTTATCAGATCTATAGATCCCTGTGTAGTCCAGAGATGCCTGACTGCTGCCGAGTTTCCTGCCGCAGTGGTGTTTAATGGGATGGCAGTGGTGGAGACTGTTTGTCTCTTTAGCCCTGAAAGCTATGTGCAATTATAGTGCAGGGAAAGCTTCAAACTCCTGGGTTCAGCATGACATGGATCGACATGGAGGCAGGATGGAAGGATGTTATGAGCAGAAGCCGTGAGTGCATGTAGTATACAGCTGTTAAGAAAATCTGATGTTTAATTTTAATGTTGATTTTTGTCATATTTAACACAGTCTAACATTGAATGATGACTTCATGGTTTATTTCTAGTGTCAGTAATGGCCTTGGCTTCGTCTTGATGAGTCTATTATTAATACACTAAGCCTTTTAGTTCAGATGATGCATTTTAAATACAAAGCCCACGTGGCAGGTGTTGTCAAGGGCATTGAGAGCTATGGCTGCATCATTTGGTTTGGAACTGAGGCTTGTATTATGAGAATCAAGTCCTGTCACATCAACATGTAAGGATTTTGGTCAGGATGTTCTATCTGCATTTTCAAACAGTTTCTATCAGTGCTTTGGTTGATGCAAGATCAGACCACCATCTGTTAGGAAGACGCAATAAAAAGGAATGCCTTTAATTTCACTCTCTGCTGGAATAATTAGGCCATTTATATTCCGCACTTCATGATTTAAGAGAGGAGCATGGGGAAAAGTCGATATTGGGACTATACAGGCAGCGGCATTTCAGCCATCAGCTTGTCCAAGTCACTTTGCTGTTATGATATATGTATGGCCTTGCTACACGGCTTCACTAGATAGCACCGCTGTAATATATCCCGCTCCCTGCCATTAATCCTCCCCCTGATAACCTCAACATGCAAGGAAACTCCATCTTAAATCACACGTTGTCACTTGGGCCCTCCACTGAGGTGCTATGAACATGCCTTCACCCCCCCCCTGCCCTCCCCCCAAAACTCTTAAAATACTCTGCATCTGCTGGGGCAGATCCTGAACTGGGGTAGCAGACTCACTTATTGACACTATCTGACAAGCTTAATATCTCTCCCCCCCGCTGGCAAAGACTTCTATCCCTCACCCCGCTACCCTTTTCTTTACAAGGGTGGCAGTAGGAAATCTTACACACAAAGCAGACAGACAGAGGCTAGAAATGCTCTGATGGTAATCATTTTTTGTAGGCTTGAGCAAGCAATCATATTTAGCAGGGGAAAAACAAGTGAATCATTACCACTAATTTGGCCTCTAAATTAGATTGTTATGTAAGGATCTATACACAAGCTCATGAAAATTCCTCTTGCTCCGACTCTCTCAATCTGGCTAATTTGACCAGAGCTTTTGAAAACAAAGACTTCAAACATTTACATAGACTTTGAACCTCCTTCCCCGCTTGCATATGGTATACCTAAAAAATTCTACTGTAAGAGAGAAAGTCTTACATTGCTGAATGCCCTGGTAGAGCATTTGAAAAGGGCAAAATATGACAGATCTCTATCGAAAAGTCACACATCAGCTTTTGTCCGCAGCTCAGGACCTTTTCTGACCCACTTCAGCACAATAGTCACACATCCATCTTAACACACTTGTGCATTACCATATTTCATGCGTTTGACCTTCCCAAACCTCAGCAGGGAACTCTATTATTCCAGCTTTGTCCTGTGGTTCTCCAGCTCCACTTTCCTCATTTCCACGTCCAATGTCTCTTTCTTGGTGAGTTCTTGCCCAATGGCGTGTGAGCAGTAATTTGTCATGTCCCTCTAAGCGTAACCAAGATGAGATGGCAGGGGCCCTGGGGCACCAGCCACTGCGCTACCTGAACCACCAACACTTGCGCTTACATAATGGCAGGTTCTGAGAAAGAACAGGGGGATGGAAGCTATATACAGCCAGGGAATACAAGAGAGAAAAGCTTACAGAGATCCTGGAACCAAAGGAAGAAGAGTTGCATTAATCATGACAATACCTTGAGAAGACAACCTCCATTACATCAGTGGAGGGAGACAGCCTCTCAAAGGAGAAGGCAGCAGTCAATGCCACTGAATATACTGATGTTGCTTGAGGGGTTTAGGGAGGAAGGGCTTTGGTGTACTTCCCATGAAATCACCCATGGCCCTGGTCTTTGACAAGATCAGCTCCTTGGAGAGATGCTTTCGTCATAGAAAAGCTTGAATTTCAGCCAAAAATGTGAATTGTACTGGACCAGTAGAACAGCGAACAAGGGCAACATGGGAAAAATAGTTTTGATGTGATATTTAAAAACTTATAAATGCCATTCCACATATTTCACTTGGGAGTCAGTCTTAATGGAGTAAGTTGAAGAGACTCTTTAATCAAGCCAATGCCGGTAATTTCACAACATGTCACAAGTGTTTCGTCTTGGACAGGTTTACACCTATTATGTATGGTGAAACTGGACCCGGGCCCTTCCCCACAACAAGATTGCATTGACAGCGACATCACAGCTATCACACGACACCTTGCATCGCCGCTGTGAACAAACAGCCTTTGCAAGACGATGGCCACGAAAACCAATTACGCAAGGGAAGACATAAAAGGGGAAAATGCAAATTGAACGATAAAAGACCCTGATGTGGGCAAAAGAGAGCGTGGTTGGTCCGGCTGTGCCTCAGAGCTATGCTGCAGAAAGGCTAGAGAGCTCTGCGGCGAGGTGATAAAATAAAAGGGGACCTCGCTTATAATAGGCTGCAATATCTTCACACATCACAGTGTCACACATCTGCACTCACCGGGTGTATGTTAACTGTGTTTTGCACTTCTCACCTTCCATCTTTTTTCTCTTCCTTTCACCCATTCCCTCTGTAATCTGTTTATTTATTTATCTTACTCCCCACAGAACAACACCAGCATCAGCACTTAGGATCTCATAGGTAACAAGGAGACAGGTCACACACGGCATACTGTAGTGTGTCTGCAGAAAACCGGAAATTTCTCTCTACCTGCTGCGGTGGTATCCGACAAAGAACTCTGAGAATGTAGTGCTGAAGGTCGACACCAACATCACACTGGAGGTAGTGTGGTGTGTATCATCTCCGCGTGCCGGCCAAATCTCATTTTAAGAAAAGGGGCCTCTTAGGGGTAGTTTACCAGAAAAACATTAGAGGCTGGAGAGAGCACTGGGCCATATTAAACAAACAGATCAATAGCTAAACAAATCAATTGCTACCAACCTATCTACATGTCATGGCTACACATCAATGTGGTCAATGCCTGGTTGTTACACTATAAGTGGGGGAATAGGCAAAATAATTTCCCACAGCTGGCTCTTTTTGCTGATTTGCCCATGCAGCAAAATAATAGCAACACACATCTGCGTTTCCAAGGTTATCAGGTGTATTAGCCCCGTCTGATTTTTTTTCCCCCCCTCTCATTTTGTCCTCTTTGTCATTCATGAATCAAGGCCGTCCTAGCCACTCCCACCCTTGTTTTGTATGTCCTCTACAGAGAGGAGAGGGAAGAGAGGCAAAGACAGGGTAGCAGCTGTGAATTTTAGCCTCCTGCTGACTGACGCCTGATGAAGATGATGCCCCAGGGAGGGTCAGTTTTGACATGGTGGGGTACACATGCTCCTCTGGCCTCTGGACCGACACATAAACAAACAAATCTTCGCAGAACACAATCTGGTCATAAAGATAGCAGCTTTTCTTCTTCTGACTTAATTTGATTACCCTTCCCAGTTGTGCAGTGGGGCTATGTTTGGAAATCTTATCTAGACTGTGCATCTTGCCAATTTCTTATCTTTAAACAACTGCAGCACTGCATGCATGATAACTGAGCAGCTCAATTCAGGAAAGGGGTGGATTTAAATGTAGTTCTTTAGGTAGCTCACATTACATAGCAAGAAGAGTTATCTACATCCAGAGGAGACAAATAATGTCACTCCCTACAGCTATATGAGCAACAAACACCATTCTGTGAAACCTGATTATGTTATATTTTTTGTCACTTTTAGTTCAGTTTATTTGATATAAAATTATGCAATGGTACATTTTTTCTAACATTCAAACAAAATCGATTCTTTACAGATTTTACAGGTACTAAACTTTGTTTACAGCGCCCTGTAGAAACTGCATAATTTTAACACAACTTAATTTAGCTTAAATATAATCACAAGCTGACTGTGAAAATAGTGAGTAGTTTGGTAACATACATAGTTAATAATAAGAAAGGTTAAATAGTTACATATCACCATGCGGAATAATATGTAAACAGATGTCATAGGAACTACTTTTTTGGGGAAAGTACATCGGATGAAACTCTTCTGTTTCTGGAGACAAATCCCCGCTGAAATTTGTACAATTTACATTTAGGCTACCGATGCAAAACCTCGGCAAATAAAACGAAAACTTCCTGCATATAAACCTCTGGAGGTAGGTGCCAACATGTTTTTGCAGTCTGGATGAACTGACTCTTAAAGCCTTCGTTAAAGTGCTGTTTGACATGAGAGGTAGCTCACTGTAGCTACCTGTCCCTTTAGCTAACTCCCACAAAACTGATGTTTTTGAAGTTGAGGTTGTGAGGCAGAGACTGCTGTTCTCCCACGCACGCACGCGCGCGCACACACACACACACACACACACACACACACACACACACACACACACACACACACCGGAGAGGAGAGAGCGCTAGGGAGAGGGAGAGAAAGAGTGAGAGAGAGAGCGAGCGCGCTACGGTTATTTCTCCCGGGCTCCAGCCGAGCCTGTGTGGTCTGTAGAGCTGGGATGTCCTCTCACACACTGTTGCTAAGGAAATGGATGGCTTGAATGGATCCGTGTTCCGGGCTGAAATCTCCTCCTCGCCCCCTCACCAGCCTACTGTCTTTCAGTGTTTGACTGTGTGTGTTTACAGGAATCACTGCGAACAACGTGACGCCTCAGCGCCAGCTCTGCACCAGCCAGGGTAAGGGATTATTTCAGCATCGCTTTTTTCCCCCACCTTGGACTATATAACAACAGCAAACAATTAGACTGAGCTTCGAGGTTATTTATTTAAAGCTGGAACGATTTATTTAGTTCGATGGGAAAGACAATGCTAGAAAGTCCGACAAAATAATAATAAAAAAGAACTGTACATTCTCAAGTTTAATTCTAGCGGCTGTCTATATTATAACTTACATTTTACCCGAAGATAACCCTGTATAGCTTTTAAAAAGGCAGGCTTAGTTCATTAGGTAAACAGCACTGAACTGAAAGTGGTAGAATATACAGTATATGAATGGGGTGAGGGCGCTGCAGCTTTAAGTCCACATAGCTATTGAGCATTGCAAATACCACAAACTCATTTCTCCCTCTCCAATAACAGCTCTATGGGGCGCCTTAAAGGAAAAAGGAGAAGGCAGCACATAGAAAATGCACACATGCACAACAACCCCCAGTGTTTTGCTTACCTACAGTCAGCCAGAGCCGGCTCTTACAGCTCACGCTTCATGCTGTCCTTTGTTTCCAGCCAGAAAAAGTCTGTGCTTGTGTGAGGTGAATGAGGGAAGAGAGAAGGGGGAGTGCGAGGAGACCCACTCAGTTCAATTTCTTATTTCCGTCTCTCTCCTCCAGTCCAGTGGAGCTGCAGCTGAAGAACTGAGGAACCGGGGATCTGACTGGCAGCTGGCACATCACCAAGGGAGGGGAGAGAGGCGGCTGGGCAGTGGGGTTGACGAGCCTGGCTGGCGCTGGGTGAATGCTGCCAGGCGAGGACAAGGGCTGAGGCGGCAGCAGCATCGACTTTTAAAAGGAGCATGGCATCCACGGGCATGCAGATATTTGGATTTGTCTTAGCGCTGTTGGGCATCATGGGTGCTATGGTGGCCACTGTGCTGCCCAACTGGAAGGTCAGCGCGGATGTGGGCTCCAACATCATTACAGCAATCTCCCAGATGCAGGGACTGTGGATGGACTGCACATGGTATAGCACAGGCATGTTCAGTTGCACACTTAAGTATTCGGTGCTCTCACTACCTGCGTACTTGCAGACTGCACGCACCACCATGGTGCTGTGCTGCGTACTGGCTGCCATGGGCCTCTGCCTTGCATCGCTGGGACTAAAATGCACACGATGGGGGGGTGGACGGCGCTCCAAGCGGCACGCTGCAATTGCCAGTGGTGGCTGCTTTGTCGCAGCAGGCTTTCTGTGTCTGGTGCCTGCTTCCTGGTTTACCAACGAGGTAATCACCAACTTCCTGGACTCCAGTGTGCCCGAAAGCAATAAGTTTGAGCCTGGGGGTGCTGTGTATGTTGCCTTTGTTTCAGCAGGATTCCTCTTCGTTGGGGGGTCCATCTTCTGTATGTCCTGCTCAGGGAAGAGGCATGGCCCCCAGGACCTGGTCCTGCTCCCTCCCCCTGACAAATTGCTGCTCCAGCAGCAGCAGCAACAGCTGCTCCAGCAGCAGCAGGAGCTCCAGCACCAGTACTGCTCTCTCTCCCCATTAGACAATAAGACTGGCTACAGCCTCCAGGACTATGTGTAATAAAACAGTGCTGTGTACGCTACAGCTAAAGGGAGATGAGCCTGAGGGGAGACCATCATGGCTTCTGCTACACACTGGGCTCTACTCTAGATAGAGGTGGAGAAAAAATGAGGGAGGAGGGCAACAACTTTGAATTCATTTTCCCATTCTCCTCTATCTGGCGCTTCTCCTTTTTTCTGTTTTGCAAGCACAAGCAGTGGAGGTATTCCCTAAGCAGCGCCTTGGAACAAACAGTGTGAATGTGTAAGGAGCTAGGATAAGGTGCTGCAGAATCGAAGGAAGCCGCTAACCAAATGCAGACATCCTTCATCAGTAAATCACAGAAAGAGTTCCCTGGGGAACGGATTAAGCAAATAAGGAAGGCTTCCGAATAGATTTTTTTTCATCGCCAAAGGTTTGAATTGAAAGAAAAAAAAGCAATCATTTAGCTGCTATTTACAATCGTTTGGTACACTCCCATTTGACAAAATAGGCAACATAATGCCTGAGAGCAGTAGGTGGAAGTCCTCTCATAGCAAGCCATTGTAGTTTTTCGTATTCTTATCCACTAGAATGCTACGTGGAATTGATTGAAATAAATGGTCTTATTTTTGTTAGCTACTAGAATGATGTTGATATTTTGCCTCTAAAGCATGCTGTGTGGAGCCTGTCTGTGTATTAATACAGCGGAATGCTTGGTAGAAGACTGAGACATAGCCACACAATGCCTGTGCCTGAAAAGCTGTAGAAACATTACCCTGCTGTAACTGTTCAAAGAGGACTGTCAGGAGGAATAGATGTGGGCTGCTGGGCTGGATTTGAGACTGAAAATTCAGACAAACAGATGCCTGCTTCTCTCTCTGCAGGTGGAAATATGAGAGAGATGGAGAGAAAATTGATAGATTCAATCCTTCAGCAGAGTGGACTATCTGATGTGCTGTTTTCATATTTTCATCCAGACAATAACATTCTGCCTGTAAGTAGCAGCTACCCATCCCAATCCATTCCTGCACGCCCTCAGACATGCACACCCACACACTTACACATGCTCTTGTGTGTCTTCGTGTACAGAGTAAACACTCAGACACGCCGGCTTTTTGCATGTGCTTTTCACTCCTGTCATCCTCCTCCACACTGCCATGGAAACAGAATTCGGCATTCAAATATCTTTATTGTCTGAGGGTACGTGCATGTCAGTCAGTGATTTTAAATTGTTTTGTGTGTGTGTGTGTGGGGGGGGGGGGGGCGGGGGCGTCTCTTTCTCTCGCCATGGTTCCAAAAGCTTTAATCAGAGCCTCTGCTCACACTACTTTCACTAATCCCCTTTATTAGCCAGTGACATGAAGCAGCATCCCTGTTACGTGGTCAGAGAGCTTTGGAAAATGCTCTTTTTTTGCTGCCCACTGTTATGGTGTTTATACCATGCAAGTAGTCTCACAGGGGCGAGCAGCTGTTTAATGGTGCGGTGGCAGAGAGGCAAAAATGAAGCAGAGAGGGAGAACCTCCTTGAGTCATGGTGGACTGGGTAGCTGTGTGGCAGGCAACTAAAAAAGGTTTGAGTCATTCTCCATATGTGACTTGTTTTCCAAGTGCGTCAGCATTGCGCATACGCTAGCAGTCTGCACCTGCAGGTCTCAGTGTCTTAAATTGCGACCACTTGACTATGCCACCATTCCTCTGTTCTCTACCTGTCAGTCTAATCTTTTTTTTACCCTCTCCCTGTCCTGCTTGTGTCACATGTCACATGGATGTGATCGCTGACAAGTGAACGCTGATGCATGTTGAAAGCATGGCTGCCCAACACACATACACGCAAGGCACACATAAACAAAACTCCCACCTAACTCATATGTCAGCAGCACTGTTACGCTTTTAAACGCTCATGTTCCAGAGTGTGTCTACTTTTTTCTGAGGGAAGGATATCGGAGGAATATTGTTTTCATGCTCGAGACAGGCCTTGGCAGTGATGTATAGGAGTGCACATTCCCTCCTTCTCTCTCATAAACATGCAGCTTCCTGGGGGAGAGCAGATGGCCAAGTCCAGCTCGCCACCTGCAGGCTGCTGCCGGCACGCCATGGGCATCTCTGTGGGCACTACTGCCGGTACTGGCAGCCCTCTGGGGTCAGCTTTCTACCCCACCCTGAGTTAGCCATCTTGCTCAGCACAGACTTTAGCCAACAGAACTGGCCTCCTGACAAAGACTCACTGCCCAGGCACCATAACCAATGCAATAAACAAAGTAAAGAATGTGCCATGTCATCAACTAATACTGACACGATGTGTTTCGAGAATGTGCCAAATCGTCTCATGATGACACGTTTTAATACTATCTGGAGTTCTTTCTGTTTATTTTTTTATTGCGTTGTTTGTACATGAATTATACATTAACAAATGTTTTATGGATTTGTGATTTGTTCTGCCAGACTAAGTCTCAAGTCGACTAGATGCTTGTGTACAGTCCAGTGCAGCTTTCGAGGGTTATTTTAAATCCTCTTTATTCCTCATTTCTCAAAGCACAGCAAGACTTCACTGGGCATGAGAGTTTCATTGGGAAGACATGAGTGTGGTATTTTATAAATGAAAGAAAAAAATGCATTGGTGTCAGAAATTCTGGTTCACTGTAGGTCGGTGACAACTGAACACAAGTATCTAAGTTTTTAAAGGTGTTTGTTTTTACTGAGGGATCAGAATCCCCTCAGATTGTTTCAATATAGGATACAATACCATGTTCATACCATATCTTCTTTATAAGAAGACTACTCAGTGCACCTTTACTTGTGTTACTTTATTTGACAGCAGTTTGATTCAAATGGCTGAGCAATCCAAGCTCCCTGGACCAGGACAAATACATAACACAACTGGCACTCTGGAAAAAAAAAAAAAAAAAAAGGGAACGATTTCTGCCTGATAAGATTCAGCGGGGAAATAGGAGTTACACGATTTCTCTTTTTTTGTGGCTGTGTAGCTTGATCATCAGCACGCAATTTCATTAGCTTATAAATGGCCAGAGTGCAAAGTGACTAGGTCCTAAAAGTCTAAAGAGTTACAACTCTCCTGCATATACTGTAACAAACATTGATTTATCATTTTGATAACCGCAGCTTATTTTTGTGGATGCTTTAGCACTTCTTACTTTGCCAGAGCATATTTGTGATGATGAACAGTTCACAAGTTCTGATACAGTTGTCTCAATGTGCTTGTGCGAGTAGTTCTATTTTTTACCAATAAAACTATTTTGTGAAAGCAACATGCCTACTGTATGTAGTCTGTTGTGTGCTTTTATGCGTGGCTGATGAGGACGGAGATAGCGTTCATCTTCCTGCCAAATAAAAGAGCTTGTTGTGTTGAGCAGGCTGTGCTGAGTGTGGGCAGACCGGCTGCTCATACGCAGCACCCACGAATACAGCAGATCCAGTCCAACTGAAATGGGCATCCATAAAACATTACTATGTGCAAATGGGTTTTGAAAAAGGGACTCTTTTAATACCACACCCAGCCCGGTCCTGTCATTCCTTACTCAGACGACAGCATTAGAGAATACATGAATGAAATAATAACAGCACCCATGGGAGCTTAAGGGAATGGGAGTTATCTCAGTCGTCCGGTTTATCTGACACTAAGTCTAAGAGTTAACTGGCAACATGTAAAGTAGCTGCTGATGATATGCAATTAAATGGGCATAGAAGGGAACAGATGAAGGATTCCATTAGTCTATTTTAGTTAAACCATTTAAATATAATAAATGATGACCATGAAAAAATATATTCATTTAAAATTTTGTGTATCAGAGTGTGTAAACATTCTCATGGAGCCAAATAAATGACAACTGCAAGTAAGTAACAAGAACCAAAAAAACTAACTGGACATAAATAACAGAAATTAGTTGAGAGTAAATATTGAAATAGAGCTGAAACTATGAGTCAGCTGACCAAAAATTAATCTGCAACAATTTTCATTAATAATTAATTCTTTCAGTCATTTATTAAACAAAAATATGAAACACCCTGATTCCATCTTTTCAAATAGGATATTGTGCTGAAAATATTTTTGGCTTGGACAGATGGTTGGATAAAACATGAAATCTGAAGGAAACAGGAAATATGATGGTCTTTTTTTCCACTATATTCTGGCATTTTATGGACAAAACACTAATCAAAAAGATAATCTGCAGATTAGTCTTGGGCTGAAGCTAACAATTATTTTCATAATTGATTAATCTGATTATTTTCATGGTTCATCGTTTCTTTTGTCGCCTATAAAATGTCAGATTATAGTGAAAAGTGCCCAGCACATTTTCTAAAGTTCAAGCTGATGTCATCAAATGACCAACTGTTGTTTTGTTCAACAAACACACCAAAACTCAGATATACTGATTTTGGAACTAGGGAACATTTGGCATTGTTGCTTGAAAAATGATACCTAATGGATCAAAATACTTGGTGATTATTTTTGTCGCTCAACAATCACATAGGTTTCATCAAATTGGTGTTGCCTCTGCCAAAACAACTTTGTATGGTTCTGAATAAGTATAACTTATTAACTTACTGTGTGAAGATGTTTATAGTCTTAACCAGAGCTTGTTTCAAATTAGAATACCGTACAGTACATTCTATATCTTTATATCTGTGACATAAGCCTTTACAGTTCAAATGCAGCACTTATTAAATAGTTACTTTCCAAGAGAATCAGAGTTCTCATTACAGCTGATTGGACCCTCATTGACATCAGCTGAGTGAGAATGTGCTTTCCTGAAACAAACATGGATTATTTAAGGCTCTTGCTCATTCTCCCACTCCTCTTGGTTATGCAACAAGAGTGCAGATCAAATAACTACTCCTCTCGTGGGGAAACGCTAATAAGATCTGCTCCTCTGTGTATTTAACCTACATTTTCCATCAAAGGCTTTCACCCCGAGTTCCCGCTATGACAGATCTGGAATGTGAGCTTAGATGAGAGGAGGTGAGCACTTGTCAATTTGAGGCAAGGGTTAATCATGCGTCGGGCTTTCCTTTGAACTCCCCTGCCTCGTGAAATTCACAGATTATTTTACTGACCTTCTCGACCAGCAAATAACCTTTCCAAAGATCAACCAAAGAAAAAGAAACGGGAGATGTGGGAGACAATGAAACGTTGACTGCTCACAGAAACGCTCGTGCACTCCGCCAGTTGTGCTGGCAGACACAAAGAGCGAGACAGATATCTGAGCATGTTAAGGAACTATCATGTCATCGCTCACCAAAACTCCATTAACGATCACCACGTCGCTTAGAATGCAAACACCCAAATCACTCTAGTATGTCACCATACTTAATGTGCAGCTCTTTGTTCTGGACAGCTGTTATGCTCATGAAGGTTCATACTGAAGATATAATGCGGTCATCAACGATGACGGAGAATGACCTTCCTTTGTTGGAGCTGCTCCCCTCTGGTCCCAGTGCACATGTGAGGCTGGGGAATAACAGCAACGACCTTGGCTGCGCAGTAAACTGCTGAGGAAGGCAATAAAAGCTATGGAGATGACAAAAGGAGAGCTTGTAGGAAAACAATACACTCTGACAGTTCAAAGGAGGCCCTTTAATATTTCAGCTTGGAGCACGGGGCGGGACGCGTGGCTGGGAGGATAAGCTGAAGGTGAGCGAGGCTAAATGGTTGAAAGGTGTGGATGTATCAGTAGAGATTATTGTCTTGTGATAGAGATGACTAAAATGTATTAATGAGATCACAGAAACACAAAAAACGAGCTAAGGCAGAGGCATGCTTTCACGCATGGACTGAAAGCTTGATGTAGCTGCCATTTAAACTGTCAAACTGTCAGTTTATTTATTTATTTATTTTACACTCAGACCTGTATAAAGCCTAATCAACACACCCACTAAATCCCTACACCTTCAGCCCCTTTAAAAATCTTGAAATGAAGTCATGAAATCACCGTGCATGAAGTCAAGATAGAGAGCGTTCAAATAACCCCTCAAGTTAATAGCTTATAGATCGATGCCTCCCTGCCTGAGTTTTTTTTTTTTTAACTGACTTCATTTGTTATCAGTGTATCATCGCACCACTAGCAATTTACTTTATTTGATTTTTGTTTATTTGAAGCTGACCTTCTTTTGTTGGGATATAGCCAGGGGTTTTTAGCATTATTCCTCAAAATACCTGCATATTCTCTTGGCATGCTCACTAACTAAACAGAGCTGAATCTGCTAAACCAAACGCTGACTGTGAGCGAACCCGGCACAGTTTCTTGTTAGGAGGAGCAGTAGATCTCTGGAGATGTTCATAAGCCAACTCTGCCAACCTCTGCATTTTGTTTAAGGAGAGAGGAGGAGGAGAGTATTTTTAGCTTTTCTTTACCTTGGGTCTGTGATGTATTGAGACCAAGCCTTCAGGCGTTTACCGTGCTGGCACGAGTCATTGAAATAACTTTCCCCAATACTCTTGATACCATGTTTGACCCCGTTTATGAGATAGGAATAGGCCTGGATAAATTGTGTGCCTGTAGATTGTGCGGTGGGAGATGAGAAAGCAGTGTAGCCCCTCTGAGTAGATTCTCACTCTCATAGTTGAGGCAAGAGCTGGGCCACTTCAGGTCACAGTGAAGATATCCATCACTGAGCCTGCCAGTGCAGTACACAGTTACTGAGGTGGGACACATTCAACACTCAAACACCCTCTGACTTCAACGCATAGACTTGTTTTGATACTATAAACACCGGCTTACACCTGAGCTCAAGAGAGAACCAAAAAGACATGAAAAATCAACAGCTGATAATACCATATATACTGTATATCTGCTACATTTTTACAGCACAAGTCCAAACAGTCTCTGACAACTGCCAGCCATAGGACTAATGGATGCTCAATGCAGCATTAACAAATTTAATTTAGGCTCTGATCTCATCTGGCCTGTGCTCTTGGTAGACAATTGTGTACAAGGCAAACATCTGTAGGGCTCTTCTCCTGTGAGGCTCAGTTAGTTGGTGGGTGATGGCTGTTGCAGCCATTACTCAGAGCGGGCTGACGACTGGCCCAGACAACCATCTGCTGGAGGTATGCCTCACTCTCCTTTCAAATCGATCTCTGTCATGAATCTGTCTTCTGGCGCTCTGTACTTGTGTGGAGGAGGCTTTGCTGTGTTTATGTCCTTTTCCAGCTTTTCTTTCATTTCATACATCACATCCAGTCCAAATACAATTTCATTTCCTTTCCATTCTCTTAGACTCAATTCATATCTCTTCTCTCCTTTATTTTTTTTTATCTCACTGTGGTTTTAGTCAGTTTCCAATGTTTCCTCTCCATCCATCTTTTATTTTTGTCCCCCCCCCCCCCAACAGCTAGTTATCACTCCATTATTATTACTAATTCTCTCTTAGAGTTAGTTTTTCTGTTGCCCACTACCCACTTTTCAGTGCTTTCGTTTGTTTATTACCTTTTTCAATGAACACCAGAACTGCACAAATAGAGCCCTCTAGAAAACACTACAGAAGAAACAACAGGTTGCTCGTGATGGAGCATCTATTGTCCGACTTATAGTCCTCCCAGAAGTTGATTTTAATCACATTCTGCCCAGATGCAGGGAGGCAGGGAGGCAGGGAAAGAGACTTGAGCAAGTCAACCCACACTCTTAACTCTTTGATTATCAGCTATTTTCGATGTTAAGAGGCAGTGAGGATGAATGTGGATGACGGGATGTTCCTGTTGAAGATGCAGATGCCTTGATGGCAGTGTGCACTCTAAAACTCCTTGACCTCTGACCAGAATATAAATGAGAAATGTGTATAATAACCAAGGCAACAGCACAAAAGCTTGTTTCTATTCTCAGTTTACTTTCCTAAAGACACACACACACACACACATATATATATATATATATATATATATATATATATATATATGTATATGTGTGTGTATAGCTGTGAATGACAGAAGCAATTTCAGGATCACTCAATCTGTCTGTCTATGTGAGAATTAACAGGAGAGGAGTGACTAATAAGGAAAGGGAGGCAGGTGTGATCTGCAGCAGGACAGACCTAGGGCACACTGAGCCTGGGGGAACACCATCAAAACAACCAATCGCCACTCTCAGAAACCTTCAAGGACAATCTCAGTCACTCAATGTGACACAGAAGAGGTGCAGTCCGGGGGCAAGAGGAACAAGACAGACAGATTAAACAGCAAGGAGGAGAGCTTATCTGCCCACCATACGTCAATATGGGCAACAGCAGCTGCTAATGTAAAATGGATTCAACATTTCCCTTCTCATTATCCCATTAGCCTGCATTGCCCAGCTCCTATAGGTTCAAATCAACTGGCCAATCAACCTGCACTTCCCCTTCCCCCCGCTTTTAGCTGATGCTATTTTCTCATCATGGCCATTCAGAAAGGTTCAGTAATTTCATTGCTTTTTCTGTGGCTCTTTGTGACTCAGTGTTTGTTTAATCACAAAGTATTAAACCACTTCAGATGTTTTTCACACTCTACTAATTGCCATATGTGTCGTACAACACCTGCTGCTGCACATTTTATTCACTGTAGTCGAGGAGAGTCGCCATTGGTGATGTAGGTGGAGGACGTCTGAAGCCACTGACCAACCACTGACGTTTTCTTTGACGGAAATGTTCATAATTGCAGAAATATTTTATCAATACACGACTGAGTTAACACAGTCAAGTACAGACATGACTAACCCACACACAAAAAAAACAGCCTAAGGTTCAGACATGACAATGACATGCCAAGAGCAGACAAAAAGAAAGCCCGGCTGTGCTTCAATTTGAACAAATCCCTCTTCATTAACACAATCAGTGATCCCACAGCTTCAGAGGGAACAAGATAATACCAATAATCAGACCACTGAGCCGATTTATTGGCCATAGGTATAAGGGATAGTCACACATGCTCCCTGAAAAGGCACACTCACACACATTGCAGTAAACTGAGAGACAGACAGAAAGAGAGGGATGTAGAGGGAAAGACCCTTGATATCTGGCAGTTACTCCACCATTATAATTATCTTCTGCCCACAAAGGGGAGGGGGTATTTAGCCATTATCATTTTTATAATTAGCTTCTGCCTTTTCAGTTGAGCATTATAAACAGTTCACAGTATCAACACCCATGACAGAATCCATTAATATACTAATGCTATGACAACATTTTTTCTGTATTTCCTATATCTCATGTGTTCTTACAATATATATGTCTGTTTTAGACAACCCATTGCTTCAGCTGGAAGTCTATATTCCTGTGTGTCACAACCTCAATCCCCACTCAAACCAGCACTTTGATGTTGTCCCATAAATCAGGCAGGACATTTTTATTGTTCATGCAATTCTGCGTAATTACTGTGGTGTGTACCAATAAACAATGCAGAGCCAAAGAGCTTTTTATGAATTATACTACATGACATACTAGTAAAGGGGTCTGAAAAATGCAGAGAGTATGATAGCATTAACACACTCTATGTGCTCTCTGATCTTTATAGGACACTAGCAGCAGGAGGCCTGCTCATCAAACGGCCATCATCTCTCCTAATGATATCAATTCGACCAAGTGCCCATTAAAACATTTAGCGTGGATAGATGGCCTGTGTGGGTATGTGGGAGGTGCCGATTCATCGCGTGTGCAATGTCCACTCTGTTCACATTTATACGTAAAGCATGCATGCTAAAACACATGAATGTGTGTGCACGTTTACAGCACGGACAAGTATGCTGAAATCCATTAAACTGCAGTTTGATATACACACAAAAATAAGACTCAAGAGTAAAAAAAAAAAAAAAAATGCACGGAAAGGCAGCTGAGTGTGATGAAATAATCATTGGGAGCCATCTCTTCTAAGAGAATGAACAATCAGCACTGGTCCCATTCACTCTGCTGCATTTTACTCCACACAGGAGATTAAATATTTACCAACAGTGGGTCTCCTAAAGAGCCACCACATCTTCAAGGGACCAACAGTCCATCCCTGACATCCACCTAACACCTATCCTTTAATTCAGGAGAAGAAAAACATGTTTTGATTTGTACAAAGATGTAAGAGAGCTCCTGAGTCTTTCAAAAGACTTGTGTATCTCTGATCCCAAAGTATATCTCAGTGGAGCTGTCTATTAGCCAACACTGATATTTCAAATTTTGCAGCAGTACTTTTATTTTTTTAATGCGCCCCCTAGTCCTACTATAAATCCTACCCCCCCCCCAATAAAAACCCCTTGCATTCACATGTTATGTAAGAGTGAACGCCTTTCTTTCACCACTGATACACGCACATGGGCTGAAAGACGCAGAGAGAGAAATTGGTCCTAAAAAAGAACTAGGCCCTCATTACAAGGCGCAGTGTGATCGTGCCACATCTGAAATACCCACCAGGCATCATTACAACCTAGAAAGGGTCCAAAGACAGAACAGAAACAACACTGATTCAACACTGTCTTAATGAAGCCTTAAAGCAAGAAGAATGAGGGAGGGATGAGTGATTGTGACATGATGAGGGACTCTGGCGGGAACATGGGACCAGATGAGGAGCAGAGATTAGGAGACGTGAGAAGGTCCTACTGTTATCTTGGGGTAAGAACTGTGAAATAGTGATGTGTCCATCTGCCACTCTTCAAACACTAGTGCTGAAGACTGAAATCAACATTTAACTCACTTAACCTTGAATAACTTTTATGTGTCGGCAAACAAGAAGAAAGGAAGACAAGGGAAGAAACATCTACAACAAACAGCAATAGAATAACTCTTGCCAATTCATTGCAAAAGTGAGCACAACATTAGATCCAAACAGACAATCGCACCTCGAACAGAACTCCAGTCTGACTGTCTGGTTAATAAAACTGGTCCCAGGTGGAAAATTAGGAACAATTTCGGTTTGTCAAATACAAACAAACACATGAAAATCCCTGCGTTAAAACTGTTTTTCTGAACTTTTACATGCTGTCTAATTGCCTTTTTTTGGTTTGCCATAGTAGTATTTAATGTACAGATATTACTTATTATTAAGTTAAGTCCTACCTCTGGTTTGGGAACAAACGCCCGTCCAGGGATGGTGAAGCAGTTGTGGACAGTGCAGAGATACTGAGCCATGATGGACAGGCGGCTCCTCTGTTTGCTGCCTGTGCTGGCCGTCAACCTCTGGATGGAGAGGACAATTACTACAAGTTTGTGATACATTTTCAGTTAGACCAGGTATTTTGTTGAGATCATATGATGTTGCTTTTAGTATTAACCAAACACGTCTGGTAAACAGATTGTATAAAGACAAACTTGAACAGAGTATTTTAGTGTGCCTTAATTATGTTTAGTGTCACAAATAGAAAAATTAAGCGTACATAACTAAATCCTGCTCTCAATGATTTTGATTGGCCTAAATAATAATAATTAGAAAAAAAAATTAAATCCATAATTAATAATAATTAGAATTATATTATTTTTATGATTATAAAATTAGCCATTCATTCCAAAATATTTTCATACTTTCGCCATTGCACAGCAAAAGAGGATTATAATGCCTCATTAAGACTTCATACTCAGTATTCAAAGGATATCTAAGCTTTGTTCAAATTTAGTTTTAATTTAAAGCATCACACAAGTAACATAAAACACTGCTCACGCACCTCTGCTACCTCCTTCTGGAAAGTGAGTGTGAGTCGGGTGCGTCCATAGGCGAAGGGCCCCGTCCTATTGGCTATGTTTTCCATCCACTTAATGATGAGGGGGGTTGAGACGCTGAACGGGAGATTCCCTATGATGTGCAGGTTTGGTGGATCTGTGGAGCCACATGTACACGCAGTTTAGTCATATGCATTTATTTCACCCTGTCCACGGTTATGGTTTATATAATTTTAATCTTCTCACCTTCCTCCCATGGCTTAGAGACATTTACTGGGAATCCTCGGTCCATTCTGTAAGTGAGTATGTCCCCGTGGACAATCCTCAACCTCCCCGGTGCTGCCTCAGACAACAGCTGTGGAAATGAACGAGATATGACATTATATGAGAAAAATGAAAGGGTACTACATAGTCATCAGTCTCTCTGCAGGCGGCTAATGATGCCACATCTGAATACAGATTAACTGGTTTCATGCAATTGACAGATGAAGGTGTTGGAGGCTGTTCTGCTGAATGACCTAATGACCTTGTGCATAAGCCAATATCATTGTAGCTGCTCAGGTTACCTTTAGCCCAGGGATGAAGCGTGTATCTTTCTCCACCACAACCAGGTCCCCCGCACCAGCATTGAGGATGGAGCGGGTCAGCCCCCCGGGACCAGGACCCACCTCACACACATGGGCATCCCTCAAATTTCCTGCCTGACGCACTATTTTGTCTGAAAAGATTGAGAGAGATGACTAACTCAGTTACAGGAATCTATTTCATTAACATTTTTGCATATAATCCGTGAATTATAAACTAACTTAACTCAAGTCATGCATCATATAAATTACACCATACTCGCCAATCAAGTGTTTTAATTAGAGTCTCAGGTATCTAAATTGAGATTAATAGTGTGTGATGTTGCAATATCTGTCTGCTTGTGTGCGATGAAGATGAGATGTATTAATCTAACAGTCACCTTGCCCAAGGACAGGAGAGCAGATCAGACCTGCACTGCATCACTGATAATTATATTAAGGCTTGAGCTCTGCAGGGGCTGCAAACAATTGACTCGGTCCATTCACATTAGCAGGACTCAAGCTCACCAAACAGAAAGGCCTGTCGATTTCGATGCCTTGAAACAAGGCTATGTGGAGCTGTGCAATCAAGTGCACTGACAAAAACACAGTGTAGTGTAGACACGGTAACAAAGAACAGGAACTAGCAGCTATTGGCGCATTGCAGACAGAGGAAAAGAAAGAAAGGAAAAGAAAGGAAAAGAAAGAGTGAGGCAGGAGGACTTACCCGTGAGCCTCAAGTCCAGCAGAAAGTTCTGGGACAGCTGTTTCTCAGCTCTCAGGTTGTACAACTTTATCAGCTCACCTACAGTAGGCAAGGGAGGCAAACGGAAAGATGCCAGTTTCCCTGAGGCAGACATTGTTCAGGTGAACTCTGTGAAAAAGAAACATACACACGCATAGAAAAAATACAAACTATGACTGATCAGCTTCCTCAGCAGCAATGCAATTCAGAGGCGTAGAAGTATAAAAATATGAAAAAGGGCAACAGGGTAGGCATAAATGGTAATAACAGCCTGTCAGTAGTAGTATTCTTAAGTTGTTATTTTTCACATTTCAAGTCAGGAGTGACCTTCCTTTTTCAATTGTGATTCTGCAGAATGATTATGTGGGCTTTACTTTAACCTTTAAATTAAAATACATTCATGTTTCCCTCCACACATGTTGCAGTGTGTGGAAAAAAAATAGTCTTAATCTATACATGCCTGTCAATTCTGGCAAACTGTTATCAATTCCAATTACCTCTTTATCAGGTCATAGGATTGATTTCCATTGTCTACCCTTAAGATGACACGTTAGTGATTATGGGCTGACTGTGTCAATGTTAGTGTGTCTTATAATAGGATCACGTGCACCATCTAGTGGAGGCATAGACTACCAGAAAAGTGAATGACTAAGATTGAGACATGAAATACAGGATAACTAATCTTTTACAGTGCACACTGACAGGACGCCCCCATATGAGATTTTGACATTTTAAACTGCTGCCATTAGTCAGTCTAATTAGCAACACTGAAATTAGCATAAATACAGTTTATACTTGAGTAAAATTAGCAGCAAAATACAGTAACAACGTATGAGCACCACGTCGGGATGACATTGACACGCAATCTTGCAATTTCAAGCTGAACAATTCACTTTAGACTCTTGACATTATACTGAGCTGTGCCGCTGTGACACTGTGTGACTGTTGTTAGCATTTGCAGCTAGCGTTAGCTTTTAGTCCAAATGCCTTTGCAGAGCCCATTGTAAAAAACTCATAATTCAAGTGAGACACTTCAACATTGTTTCTAAAACTAAGAAAAGACTGAGAGCAAACAACAAACGACACAATGAGGACACAAAGGTGAAAATAACACAAGAGTTAACCCACGTTGCTCACCAGTACCGTTTTCCTCACTAACATTTCCTACTTCGTCATTCAATTGACGTCTGGGTATCCAATGAGCCTGCGAGAATGTTAACGTCAACCACTCAAATTGAAGTAGGCGGGGTATTACTTTGCCCTTGAAAAGCGGTTTAGTGTTGATGTAATGATACGCTACGACCAGTAGAGGGCGACATTTCAGGGCTAATACTGAAGTGTTTATTTAAAATTACAGAAAGCACTGTTGGTTGATGTAGTCCAACACGAGCAAACCACTGTGTCATTTTATGTTACTTATACTCACATTATTTTTTCCTTTAAATTAAACCATAATGCATTCTTGTGCAAAACTATTGGATTTTAAATGGCTTCAAAAGATGACAGAAATGCTGGGCATTAATTAAATGCATGTTACATACACACACAAAATGAGAAAATGAGAAATGAGGTGGCAGGGTCATTATTGAGCATAAAGTCCACTCAGGCTTGTAAACACACAATATGCCTTGACTTCCACCATCGTTATTAGGCTATAAATTCAGCTTTAGACTTCACTGTCATGTTGAATTAATTGAAACCTCTCAGCTTAAACTGATGAGCAGCCTGCATGCCCACAGTCCACTGCAGGGCAGAGATTCATTGTCTAAGTGTTTTGTCACGTCGGATGATGCACAGCTGTTGTTTGGAATGAACCCTGTGGCCCTGTGGTCTCTCGGTTCGGCTCGCTGGGTGTGCTGGGTCATGGGTGTCAGAGCTAGAGATGGAAATACCCTTCTCCTCCAGGGTTTGAGATGAGTGGCAGCCCTCTCTCTCCTGCTGTGGCTGTTCTTGGGAGAATAATCTTAGATCCAAAAGTAGGAAGAAAGAAAAACATTGGTGGTGAAGGGCGAGGGTCAGCCCGGGTCTGCTCCTATGGAGATGCTTCTGCACTATCACCTTCTTGACAGTTTGCTCAATAAGTAAAACACAATGATGGGGAAAAATCAATTCATGTAGTCCACTGAATCATGACTAGATCAAAAGAACTACAAGATTCATCAACTTCGATTCTGAGTGGTTATACCTCCCAATAATAGCCTATTTCATACACAACAGATTTACCCTACTCATGTCATTGTCTTTTATTTAATAGGCTAATAAATATGACTGAATATTGCTTCCACAAGACCACAAAACAGCCAGAATTTCACATAATACCCCTTGGAGTATCATTCCAGTAGTAATCATCTCACCATTAATGTAAAGCTGCTAAAGAAAAAAACACAATAAATAGTAATTATGGCTTTTATTTTACCTCACAAAATTATTCAATATTCATTGAATTCATTGTTTTTTTTTTCATATTTTTCCCCTCATGTTTTTTTCTGGACAAGCTACAGGTGAAAGGTAAGTTTTTCATGTCAGATTGTGTGGAATTTGTTAACCAACAACCATCACTGAATCACAAGATAATAACCATAAATTACATCTAATTACAACTGAGCTGAGCTCATCAAATATATCTGGTGTCATCACTAAAATTGTTAAATGGTAATAAGCAACACGTACAAGTTTCAAAGGAATTTGCCAATAATGTCAAAGGAAGAGTTACATACACTCACAAAGTCCCATGTCTTTGTTTAAACGGAGAAGCCTGACTCAATGGGCTTTATAAGAGGGTTTGGTATAACTATTTTACCATCTGAACAGAGGAGGGCGTCAGCGAGTCACTTCCTCAATACAACTCTATAGTGTGTGATCAGCAAAAACAGGAAATGAAACATAAGTAATTAACATTACTGAGATGGTAAGTCATCACTATAACTGAAACATCAAAAGAAAAACAAAGACTGAAATACTTAAGAGTATGTAATTTCCAGGCCAATTTAGCCTTTAAAAACAGACTTACATCAATAAACACAGAAACCACAAGAGATGAGATGTCTACAGTATGTTCAGCAATAACTTCTGTTGTGATGATAATTCAGAGTCGAGTCGGTATTATGTTCTGGTATTTTACTGGATGTGTTATTGATGCTGTAACAAGTTAAACAGGCTAAACTGTGCAAAAAGTGAAACCAGATGTATACTTTTATGAATTCACTCATTTGGATTACTTGTTTCCAGTATTTAATATAGCCATATTGTATTCCACTGAAACAAAACAAATGTAAAACTGGTCAAATAAACCATACTCTTCTTGCCCTAATCAAATACAAGGATAGTCAACATTACTCTAATGTTTTTGCTGAGCAGGAACTGTGACACCACAGTTAATAGGGTTAAACATGTGGTTTACCATACACATGTAAACTCACAGTAAACACCCAGCTTTAAAGTGTATAATCTCTCGAATCTGGCTCAAGTAGTCTTAGGAATGAATAAAAGTAGTGCACGGTTAGTGAAGTTTAAGTTATAAAGTTGTATGACGTTGTTTTGATTCTTTTTATAAAACCAAAATTACATACATTTTTCATTTCGGACAGGACACTATTACTGTGCTCGGAAGTGGAAAACCCAAACCCTAATTAGACATGCTTGTCTGTCAACCTTTAAAAAAATCCTATAGGACAGAACCACATAAAAGAAGTTGTGGTACTTCAGCATTGGCATTCCTGTGGTAAACATTGTGTGATACATGTGTTGTGGTATTTTTCTGGTACTGTGAGATTTGCTGGCATTTCTGGGACAATTTACCATAAGACATTTGGTGTTCTGTGGCACCACAGTGTTATATGAGTATAAATCTGACACTGTACTTTTTGTGAAATGAAGGAACAAAACAAACAGAAAATATAACTGGTGTTTCAAACTAGTGTTTACTAGCAAAACCAAAATAATAAGTCATATCAGTGCTAGTCATGTCTCAGGGAAAATAATCAATAAGTCTTTTTTGGCAAATAATTCAGGTTGTCCTGCTGATACCGTTTGGTAGCAATAATGTTAAAGGGGCTGCAGTTTTCTCTGTCGCCAAACATGGTCTCTTCCCAAGAGCCAGCAGCACTACCTCTTCAGGGCAGATTGGAGGAGTCGCTATCGGAAAGTGACAAGACTGATCGGGGCTAGCTGGTAAGCATGCTAACTTCAGTAGAAGAAAAAATGTGATAGAGATTTACAGTACAGACATGAGAGTGGTGTAAATGGCCTTATCTAACTCTCAGCAATGAGCATTATTTACCAAAATGTCAAAGTGTTCCTTTAAAACAACACACTACATACAGTTGGCTACAAGCATAAACATTGTTGTAAAGATCCACCCACGTCCTGTCACTCCATGACCTTTCTTCTTCTTTTGCTGAAAACCTCTGTCGTCCCTTTGTGGCTTGGGTCCAGGAACACCATGTTCCGTGTTGTCTCGGCCTGGTCTAATCTCACTCTGCTTGGACAGCTCATTAGCATCTGTCAGCGCTCCCAAAACTGAAAACGACCCGGGAGAGCTGAGGTGATGTGTGAGCAGAAGAAATGGAAGTGAACACAGGGTTGCTAATGTTGCAGGAGCGTTTTAACGACAGACTCAACGGCTGGATGGGACCTCAGTGATTACTTTGCTTGGGGCGAGCATGCAACAATAAGGTAGCGTTGAGAGACTTGAAATGAAAAATGAAGGTATAAAAGTGTGTGTTCATAGGGGAAAGTTGATGCGCATTACATCATCAGTTGACAAGTCTGGTTAATAACATCATAAATTAATTTGCTTGACATCATATCGTCCTCTCTTCATATGTTTCCTTTGATAAAACCTTCAACAAAGATTTACGCTGAAGCTTCCTTGCAACTGGATGACAAGGCTCAAGTCCCACAGCAACATTTTATCACCCATCTTGTGTTAATTAAATGAGTGTGCTATTCTGATGTCTGCCATTCTGATCGCATCATATAAGTGTGGGAATGGCAGCTACTTCAACTTACCCGTATTTCTACTATGATTCATAACAACCGCAGCCCAGACAGGACCACCGTCCTGTGGGCATTATATATACAGAGTGAAATCATAACAAACCTCTTCCTCACTGGATCTCAACCACATGACTTCATTTTGGGTGTGGGAATTATGGCATTCAATCAAAATACACTTCTCATGACCTCAGTTTGGATAGATCTTCCTCTTCGATACCACATGTAGGGGGATGACTTCATATGTGGGGAGGAAGGGGTCTGTCAAACAAATGCGCTTTGTTTTTTGAGTTTGTCTTTGCTCTGACTCACTTTGAGTGTCACACACAGGACAACAAAAAGGTAAAAAAGAGAAAAAGGTCTTTGAGGTTGTTCCAGAGCTGGAGAACTCTTGGATGACCCAGATACAAGGTCATCAAGAGGCGCATGGGAAAGTCAATGAATAAATGACAGCCGAAGTGAAGAAAGGTAAAGAGTTAACAATGAGATGGAGATATGAGCCTGCAGAGTGTGTGTTTCTGTCTGTCCAACTGTCTATGCATTTGTGTCTGCCGAAGTGTGTTTCATTTTACTGAACAAAACATTACATCAGACCCACACCCACATAATACAGCAATGGCAATGTGTGAACTAAACTGCTCTTGGGTCAGATGTACTGTACATTGCAACACAAAAGAACTGACAAAGAGGGAGTGAATGTATCAGTGTCCATCTGACATAATTCCTCAGTGAGATTATCTGTTGTTTAACTGCTGCGTCTTTTGTTTGCTTTGGTTTCCACCTAGTGATAAGAGTGTCATTATGTTCACCAGGCGTTTCCCTCTGGTGACCAGACAAGACTTTCACTTTAAGGAGAAGAAATATGCAGGCAGACTTCTCATCAGGTCATCAACTCAAATTGCACAAAAACAATCAAATATCCAGTAAAGTAGCGGTAAATAATAAACTGTCATTATTATTATGAGCTATAAACAAGATACTCATTAAGCATTTACAGAGAACAGGTTCAGGCTGGAAACAAATATATTTTACCTGCAAATCTTTGCTTGCAGTGTTGCCAGATATTAAAATAATCAGGAAATATCAACACTCACCTTGCAGCAAAGAGTTGTTCAGTGAAACTCAGCTTTGACAGAATGGCAAAACTGCTGTATTGGGTCCTCTGTCC